ATTGTTAGCTTTTCAGGATCTTTCGTCATGCTAGCATCCTTACGTTGGCCCCGGACTGCCCAGAACCCTGGCGGGCTCAGCCGTGAAGCTAGAGGAGTGTATCGGAAGTTCGTAGTGGAGTCGCCGAACTTTGCGCCGTGGATCAGAAGTCAGCGGGAAAACGCTTTCGAGAGGATCGTACGATATCATGCTAAAGTAATGTTGGGCCTGCTCATGGTTTCGGCACTCGACGACTGCCTTTCACCCGATAGATACTTTGCGATGAAGGGCGGGTGGCTCAGCATGCCTCTAGCCTACGTAGCATAGGCGACTTCGACTCCGCCATAACAGTGCTTCGTCAAGTGCGGGAGGATCCATCAGTTCAGCGGCTGAGTCGGGCGAGTTGTAAGCAGACGCCTGGTGGGAGTAGTGGGTCTTCGGACGAGACCCGGGGAGGGAAGTCGCCGCGGCAACAGGATCAACTTCAAGTAGGTCGCGGATGAGTATATCGTTTGGTGAGTCTCTGATTGGTTTTCACCAGAAACGGTTATCGGCTATAAACCGGATGCTGAGCGCTATGCGTAAGGATTTCATACAGTCCCGCGTGCAGGTCTACTAATGGTTACCACGAAAGTTGAATTATTGACTTGGATATATCAAGTTGGCACCATTTAGTGTTCTATTTTGTATGCTACCTTAATCGAGCTATGTATAAGTGACTGTTGTGTAGTGTTGTTATTCACGGGCGGCTCTGTTCCTTGGACAGCCTTCAGTCCTATGTCTGCAGAGATGTGGCTCCCCAAGGCAGAGCTGGAGAAGAATCCCGAGTACATCGAATGTCGTGAGTACGTCCTTTGCGTTTGAGTGTTGTTGTTGGCTTTCGCTCCACGTTCACTGGTCGCAGGTATATGGCTGAGCATCGCATCCAAGAGCTCCTCAACGATCTCCTGGCATCAGTCGCCTTCCACAAGCCTGAGGGAGGCAGGGAGGCAGTGATGGCCTTTATGGCACAACAGCTGGAACGTCGCAGTAGAGAGGGAGCTGAGGCTGGGGGTCTGTTTGATATGAAGGAGATCGAGTCGGTTTTCCGTATGGCTGATTTACTAAAGCAGGGGACTATCACTAGGGAACAGGTGAATACTTTATCCCCTTTCTGATCTACTGAGTAGAACCTGACTTTACTAATTGTCGTATGCCCTTCAGTGTCGATCAGCGTTGAAGGCTCTGGCCTGTTCAGCGAGGCAAGAGGAGCTGATTGATGGTACAGTTGGTCAGGGGGGTAAGGCTACTGAGGGCGGCCTGGAGATACCATTGAAGGTGGACATGTCTACCTTTGTGGACCTAGCTAGGAGGGCTCTCAACCTACGGGTGGGATTCCCCACGCCTGAGCCTAACGTCACTGTATTGGTGTTGGTGTTAGGTGGAGGACATAGCCGTGTCAGGCTGAATGCTTGGTCCTATTCATAGTGCCTTGGTGAACATGATGATGTCGTAAACGTGATATTATGATCTATGGTGGAGTTGATTTATATTGCACTAAGGCTGCTACCATTTCTGCTTACTCTGCTGCACTGTATGATGACGTAGACCAGCGACAGTTACTCGAGTATAATGGACCCGTCCTCGCAGCCTCCCGAGTCATCACAGTTCACAGAGGCATTGAGTGCAGCGGACGGCAGGTAGGCACTCGGCTACCGTCACTTCATCTGTGGCTGAGGTCGATTCAGGACTAAGCAGCCTCAGCGCGAGGAGCGAGGGAATGGCAATGATGCGAAGTCGGGCGAGGTGAGAAGCATGAAGTCCATTGTTATCATCTGTTCCGCATGGCCATATACGATAAGCCCTAGTGTTGTCTGTTATCAGGTGAGTCGTGGAGGCGAATCGAAACCGAAGTACTTTACCGCTGAAGAAGCAATGGCGTCGCTAAGTAAACTCACAAAAAGTAAGAAGTGTTGTGCGAAGAGGGAGGGGGAGGGAGTTCTGCGCCTCAGGAGACTTTATAGAACTGCGTAACCTCCCATCTCCGCCAGAAGGAGTACTATCAGTGGCCCGTGGCCTTTGTTGGGCTCTGGGTGTGAAGCTGAGGAGAAGGAGTACGACTGATGGTATCGTTGGGGATTCGGAAAGTACGGTATTCCTCTGGCTGTATGGGATTGTGTTGGGCTCTTCCTCCATTGCCACTTCGGTGTGTCTCAGCTCCTCAAGAGTATTGGAGGGCGGCCCGAGAGCACATATTTCCCTCGTCTAGTGCCATAACTCTACTACAAAGATTAGTATTCTTCGATAGGGATAGAGTCCCTGATAAGACGATAGAGCTACTGCGGGGACTAGTGGAAACGGAAGCCTTCCAGAAGGAGGTACTCGACTTCAACCCGCCGGTCTGCAACCCCTTCGAATATGCAGATGATGTTCAGCAACTTGGCGGCGAGCAAAGCCTTGGGCCGTTGGCTGAGTCATGTGGTCGACTATCGCCTCTCCAAAGGCGGTCAAGGAGGGGTAGGTTGTTGAGGGGTCTTTGATGAAAGGAAGACTCTTCAGGCGCTATTGTCGCGTGAATCGAGTAAGAAGAAAGGAAAGGTGCAGCGTGGAGGAGGTGAGATATGGAATATTAGTAATTATGCACGGTGATGATGATGATCGTTTTACATGCCATATGGCAATAGCACATCGCGAATACAGGATTGGGAATTATTTGATTTTATTTGTGCAGCCCTGTCCCCTAACACAGTCCAGCGAGAGAAGGAGACCTCCCCTGGCATTGGGCCACGCGCCATCCCGAAATATGTTCCAAGCAGTAAGACTCGTGGTGACTGTGACAGCTCCCAAGTGACGAGAGGTCGGAGGAACACGGAGGCATTCCTTGTAGAATTCTTACCTCACTCGAGACGATCTCCGACAGCTACGGCAACGAGTGCAGGGAAGAAGAAGAAAGGGAATGTGTATAGTATGGGGTAAAAGGGCTGAGGGTTGGAAATGGTAATGGGGGCTGAGGACGACTCTTCAGGCCTTTGTTATCGCAAGGATTAGTGTCCTCTCCCTCACGTATACAGGAGCAGCTAGGGACTTTGCAGCAGACAAAGCCGGGTAGTATTGATAAGTGTTAGTATCCTAGGCATTGTCGTTGCTGATGGATAGATTCAACGGGAGCGTCTCCCGATCAAGTAGTAGAGGAGCAGATTCCGAATAGGGGTGACTTACCACAACATTGACACATTCTAGATGGTCACTTGTAGGGGATCGATCGAGGGGGCGAGAAGAACGCTCGCGGTCACCTGCCAGGAGTGCTGGTGGTGGTGGTGGTGGAGGTGTGAGGAATAAGGCTCTAGGTAAGGAGGAGGAGGACTGTGATAGAACCATTGACCAACGCGTGCGGGCAGGTAAAGCGATACCGATCCAGTGGCGCTCGGCCCCTAGGCTAGACCAGCCTCTATCGGCTAGGAGTAGTAAGTTCTACACTTATATGCATCTTGATGGACGCGGCTCAGACATCTCTGCGAAGCTCTCAGTGAGGGACCAGATCTGGTATAAAGAGAAGGATAGTTGGAGGCAGGCCCTGGACGAAGCACGTAAGGTTGAGTCGTCCCTACAGCTACAGGAACGCTGCTCTGGCTGCATAGTAGGGAGGTCTTGTTAGGACGAGAAATACGGGAGTTGAAGGCATTGGAGAGTCGGATACTGTGGAACATGCGGAGGGAGGAGAAGGTGAGTGCCGCTGTTGGGAGCTCTACTGATCAGTGCATAGTTATGAACGAATCTAGGTAGGAGTGTTCAGAAATCAACAAGAATTTCCCGGAATTTCCTCAAATTTTCCTTATTGTCACCGACATATGTAGTTGACCGTGTGCATATCATCTCACACTGCTACCACTATTGGTGTGTTCTAAGTCGGCTGAGAGGAAGATGGAGAAGGAAGCACAGAAGGACATAACGCAATGGAGACGGGAGCAGGAGACGAGTCTGCGTGAGGGCATCGAGGCATTTAGGAGAACAACTCACCAGCGTGAGCTGAAGGTAACTGTCGGCGCCTTGCCGTCCTCATAAGGGAAGTGTCAGGAAAATCTCGAGTTCGTACAGTTCAAACGGGAGAGGAAGAGGCGGGCTAGGGAGGCTGAGCTGGAGTTGATAACACAGAGTTATGATGCTCAGCGAGAGAAGTCGATTCAACGAGAGAACTGCGAGAAAGAGCGGGTGAGGGAGATGCGCTGTTCGTGGTTGGCTTGTGGATCGCTGTGCAGATAACGGCTGATGAGGTGTTCAAGGCAGAGCAGCGGAAGGATCGGGAGGAAACGCGGAAGCTGGTGAGAGCTCTGAAGGAGGAGGAGGCGAGGAAAGAGCAGGCCGAAAGGTGGGTGTATTCTTATGGGAAAAAGCGCGACTAGGATGTTGCGAGTCATCAGGCTTTATAACAGTGCAGAGAAGATGGAGTACGAGAAGAGGCAATTACTAGCAGAAAAGAACCGTCGTCTCAAGGTAGGACTGGGGGTATGGGTTGAGTAGGTGTGGTTGTGTGTGTATCCATAGTTGGGAATATGATCATCGAAAGTGGTATGTACAGAAAAATGGTCGATACTGGGATTTGAACCCGGGTCGTCCGCGTGGAAGGCAAATACCATTTTCGGTTGGACTCTTGGTGTCCGTTCAGGATCTCCAACTGATGTCGGCCCTCTGTAGGAGAGTAGGTAGCTGAGCTCTCCTGAACGTAGCGTCGGACATCATCATTCCCAGAGGGAATCACTTCATCAATTACTTGTCACTGCCACATGGCTCTTGTTGAGACCTCATAGCAGCTTGTCGAGTTAAGGACTGGGTGTCTCCATATGATGGGAAGTACATAGCTGCAGGCCAGCATAGTTCTCCATGTCCTCCACACCTTCATCTCCTGTGAAGCAAAGAAGGAGGAGGTTGAGGAAGCTCGGCGAATCTGGAGCCACCCCGGCCGACATCGAGACTGTGGTGAAGAAAGAACATTCTGTGGAAGACCAACGACCCCGACATAGACCTGTAAACCTCCACCACTCTCCGCGTCGTCGTCATCGGGCAGCAGGAGTGTCTCATTATCAGGTTAAAGTTCGGCCGATATTACCGGTGGAGCGATTAGCTTCCCTCAAGAATGACGCTGGTCGGGCGGTATTCAGCTCCAATGAGTAGCAACGCTATCAGGGTGTCCTTGTCTTCGGAGGGCTGTCATGTTAGGCCACCGTTTCGGCCCAAGTCCTTGGCGTTTCCTACTACAAAATTCGCTCCGAAGAGGCCCGATGCGCGGACTGTTGGGAGTGGGGATCCGGCCTTGGCGAAGACCATAGGGAAGATTGCTAAAGAGATGCACGTATCGAGTGAGGATGAGCCGATGCCAAGCAGCGTTAAAGTGATCCTGATGAACGCGATGAAGGTGTCGGCTGAGGAGAAGAAGAGGAGGAAAGAGAAAATTGAGAGAAGCTCGCGTAAGCAGCTTCAGCTCCTAGCATGTGCGATTCACGGATATGCAATGTTGGGACTTCCTGGTGTGCCCTAGGTGCAGCCACCGTATCGACAAGTACAAGCTCTGGCTCCAGTTCACGCCCGGTTCATAGTCTCTTTGGTGGAGATCTCAACACAGTAGACGATCTTCCTGTATGTCGCCGCCCCTTACCGTGGCATTACTCTAGTGTCTCAGAGGGTCGAGGATCGGAAGAGAGGGCAGCGGCTCGTAGAGAAATCCCTGGACGATGTTGCATTCGGTGCTGTCGATGGTGGCATACAGGAGTGAGTTTACTGCTATGGCTTTCTATAGTCAACTCCGATAAGGTACCCGCCTTCCTCGGTGCCTTATTTTTCAACTCGTCGTATTCACCACGATTTTCTTCAAGCAAGTGGATATAAAGAGGGCTCCCTTGTTGAGGAAATGAGAGTAAAAGGGAAGAGGCCCGTATTAGTGGAGATGACCGGAGGCACTGTTCAACACGAGTGAGAAGATTTGCAGTGGGTTTGAGGATATACAGAGTTCAGGTCTAGCGGGGCTGCCCAGCTCTTCCTGGAGAGTAGCCCCAGTGTTAAGGGGGAGGAGAGGCCGCCTTTGAAACAGGATAAATTCTTCCTCGTAGGAGCTTATCCCGTATAGCCTTGTCACGATTCGCGATTTTTATGGGTGCAATTGAGTAGAACATCATGGGCAGATACAACTCCCTAACACGTTCCCTCGAGTCGTAGCAGAAAAGGAGGAGGAAGAGAGCAAACCTCGTGCGAAAGGTGAACCGAAAAAAATTTCGCAGGGGTCAAGGCTCGAACCTGGGATCTGTTGTGTGCAAGCCTGTTGTCATAACTAATTAGACCATTTCAATTGCATTTTCCAAGTTCGAGCGTTGAAGTGTTCTCTGCCAATTATGGTTTCTTCGACGTTCGTAAGCTTCAGTTTGTTAGGTTCGTTGGCACCAGCTCCCGAACAGGAAGTATCAAGCTTCTCCGACGTACCCGACGGGAAGATCGGCACCTTACGTATCCATAAGAGCGGGAGGGTCTCGCTCCTCATAGGGAATATTGAGTGGGCCGTCGAAGAGAGCACTCGTATCCAGGGTCAGTCCTGGTATGCAGGTATTCGTGCGCCCTTGGACAGAAGCCGAAGTTCGCGCAGGAAGTTGCCTGCGTTCTTCCCACACAAGGCGAAGCTGTCTTCATGGGGGAAATTGAAGATAAATTGGTGAGCCTCTCGAAGTCCCAAGTCAAGCACATGTGTGGTAGTAATAGCTCGTGTCCTCAGATCGTGTCGCCGAAGATCTGACTCTGCTATTGGGGGCATCAGTATATTACACTACCGTACAGTATGAACACTCATCAACCACATGCCTGATTAGAGTAGCGTGTGGTATGTGGCAAGTGGCACTCTCGATCATGTTATGGTCGATAGTAGGTCCTGAGCGGCATCATCATTTGTCCATCTTCTCGATGGCTTAATCTCACTAGAAGGCAGTCACCATTTCCATCAACCCGCCAGAGTTAAGGATATCATTTATTTGACGTTATCATCGAGTCATAGTTAATGTTGGGTTATCAGTGTGGGGCAACGAGTGCTTGCTGCTGGTACCGTACCGAGTACCGTATCAGACTCACCCTGGTGCTCGCCTCGATGTTGTTTAGACATCTCCGGACATCGTGAAGGCACTTTAGATGCACGCGTTTACCTTATGGTCATCAGAGTCGTCGTGTATTTTCGTTGTTCTCATTCAGGGATCGGGAATTCTTTATGAGGAACTGTATAATCGTTGGGGATATTTCATGACGTTAATTTTCGCTGGAATCTCCCAGTAGGGGAGGTACCCCTCGTAAGCAGATGTGGCGTGGTCGTCTCCTTCGTGGTATTTCCTGACTCGATAGTACCATGCATAAGCACGTAGCTTGCCCTACTCTCTCCACAATATCAACTGCATGCTCATCCAGCGTTGTTAGTCGACCCAAATTATCTTATCTCGGCTCTGCGCCCGTTTTCTCAGCCGCAGGAGGTTGGCGTCCGTCGCACCCTCGTTGTGTGAATGTCTTCCTCCTCGAGTTCTTCCTCTTCCGCTGCTGCTGCTGCTGCCGGTCCAGGGTCTCGACGTAGATCGGCCTCCATCGGCAGCACGCACCAGACTGAGACCTTACCGGACTTCCTTTCCCGCTCGTGGCATCGTAGCTTCAGCGATGTCCCGATTGAGGATAAGATACGTACAGCAGACAGGTAGGGCCCCTCTATGGTCCCTTACACCCCCGACCGGTCCATCATTCAGGATGATACAGCGGCTCATGGGCTGGGACCCTTCGGAGAATCCTCTCATCGAGTTCCTCTACGACCCTAAGACCGGCAACCTCACTAAAGCAGTCTTGGACGTTGAGGCCTTCCACCGACGACAGGCTGCCGCGGTAGGCTGCTCATCGCGACCATTGTTGGTCATCTGCATGTCTATGTGGAGTTAGTTCCAAGGGATACTGGGGGTTTTGGGTGACATCGCTGACCCGTCAGAAGTGGAGAAACTCCTCAGAATGGACGTCAATGTAGAGCCCACCAGGCCTGCGGGTCTCCGAGAGAAGAATGAAGTAGGAGAACGCTAGACCGGGTTATGTTGATAATTGCTGTCCATCTTCAGGCGACTATTCCCAATGGTGTTCAGCCGCCTGAGGACCACTCAGTGGCCAAGTTGGCTATTGAGGGGGCCAGGCTCTCTGTACCATCCTCTAAAGTAAGATGGTATTCTCTCATGTATGACATTAACTCTCCTCCTTGTGATTCGAATCTCGTACTCGTATTCGAAGAGTTTAGCTTAGGGTAGTCGTCCGGATCATCAACAGGCTGTAGTGAGTCGCTGGCCACACAGACCGCTACATTTGTATCTCGAAATGTCGGGAGCATCACAGCTCTCTACCGGGGAGTGGCAATGCAATCCTTTCGCGACGTGTTTCGGATAACTCATTTGTCGAGTATGGTTCCAGATACCCTTCCTCGTGGGATCTGATAGCGAAGAGTGCCACTTTGATATCTCGTCATTGATGGACTTCAGCGACCAGCGAGGCCCCACAGGAGAGCCTATCGTCCACGCAGTACATCCCCCAATTCCTTCACCAAGCTGCTACGTCTCTGCAGGTCCACTGCGCTATCGATAGAAATACCAACGGAGGATGGATATTGAGGAACTACGGTGGAGGTGAATATGGTGAACAAGTGGAATGTGAATTACCCTGCTTTAGGTACATTCGTCGATGGGACACCAGTTCCCAGAGATGCTATTGCACCGCTCCGGCCTGGAAGTCAGATTCAGATCCATTACCTCACGTTTATATTCTTTCCAATTGAGAGCTAGACCAAACCGGCCACAGTCGAATGTACATTTCTCGTACAAAGAATAACTTGCGTTTCGAGTGATTGAGTGTTACATCCCGCGCTAGCATCTCGTAAACATCAGCGGTGACATCTGAATATTCTCACACCAGCGGATTTCGCCGGTCCGATGTTCCAATGCTTGCTGTGGTGGTTATATGAGGCATGAAATTACACACTTGCTGCAGAGTATAGTGTGACATTATCAGGTTGGATCATGGCCCATATATACATCGCATCGTTCAGAACTTTGCGGTGTCTCGATTCTTTGCAAGACTCGCATTGTGGTCATATCGCCAGTTTCGATAGGGGTAGGATCCACTACCTAGGGCTTAAAGCTTACGCGTCACGAGACCAAAGGTTTCTGAAGAGTAATTGGATCACGAAATTATCTACTGCTGGCGGTGGAGGGGGAATCCCCTATCTATCGTTTACAGGACTAGTTTCCTCAACAACAAGACACACAACCAGAGAAACACTTCCAACTTGGAAGTTCCAAGCATTGCCTGGTCATTTTCGTAAAGCGTGCCGACGCAAGAAGCGCCTTGCCAGGAATCCAGTCCTGGAATCATCGAATTGTCTATGTATGAGAGCATCTCGATATTAGGTCTCCGATTCGAGTATAGCATTCAGTCGGGCCAGTCACGCCGAATTCACTTTTTTTCTGAGCGGCAAGCTCCTTTTATTGTTGTGAGCATTGCTGAGAGCACTGGCTGGGATCTCGGCGATTTCCTGTCATCAACACGTGTCAACCGTTTCGAAAAAGTATGAGAACACAACAAACATGCGCTGGACCACCGAATATCACAAGCCCATGCATCATCATCTCTCGGCTTCGTGTTGCATACCTTTCTCCACTTCCCTAGCAAATGACCATTTGTCCGATTTATGGTTTGAAAAGCCGTACTTTTCTCGATCATCGAGCCTCTTCTGCATGATAGCCGCCAGTTCGGATAATTTCTCGTGGACCGCGCGGGCCGTAACTGCACTCGATGTCCAAGCTCATGGGGAGCAAGGCCAACCTTCATCCAGTCCCTGGCTCATGATCTCTTTTACCCCAACATCCCAGAGGCGGTCCTCAACCTGAATTCACGAGTAAAGCTGAGGAAGATCTCCATTACCGCTTGGGGTGACGAGTCATTGAGCGGCGTGTTCTCTGTATTCTCCTCCGGGCTTATATCCTTTTCCGAGTCAGCAACGTCCTCCATGCTCTTCAGTGGAATCTCCTTGGACTCCAACGTGGGAGAATCTGCTCATGCGTGGCATTCCTCATGATAGACCCGCCCATCTTACTGGTGACCTCGGCAGCTTCTTCCAGTGGTGGGACCACGTCGGGTTGCAGCAATGGTAAAGACACCTTGGCCTCACAAATTGACGGTGAACTTTCTTGTTCAGTGTAGTACGTCGATTCGCTCCACTTCTCGAGGGCATATCAAACAGTACATGTAGAGGTTGTAGTGCGCGAACAACGTATCGCTGAGGTAATCCGACAGGAGACGCATTTCCGGAATAGAAAAGACCGGCGTCCTGATGAGAGCAACCTGTCCCGTGTTGCTCTGAGCCCTTTACTCAATCGTATACGAGAGAGCGAGCTTTTTAAATTCCTCCACCGTCGTTGTCTTCTCGACACTCTGGACGACTCTACCCGAACCGTCCATCTCGATCCCACTGCGAATCTAAGAGACCCCCTATTCCCTATTGCATCTTATCACCCACGTACACCAGTGTTGGAATATCTGTTTGCTTTCCTCAGCTGAGTCCAGGGATTTCCTCATCACTAATTTCAGAAATTTATATACGAATTCGGGTGTAAATGTACAGAAACCAATGAGAATTTCCTCAATTGTCACCTACACATGTAGTTGACCATGTGCATATTTTCCCACACCGACCTACACCGTCCACGAGTATTTTGAGTATCATATGGGCAACTGCTGTTTGCCTAGGCGTCAAGCATAACCCATCTTTGAGCTGATCACTGCAGTGCTCAATGAGGTTGAGATAACTGATCCAACCCTGACCACAGGCACCACAGGAGCTACCAAACCCCCACAGTTGTAGCTCCATGTCCCTTCGATGGTCATCAGCCGCATCCATGGTGATCTTCCCAGCCAGCACACTGAGTCGATCGGCCTCACGTGCATCCCATATCGTTCGAATGTCATCATCGAGCAAATACAACATGTGACCTGTATCGAGGCACCTGAATTCAGCATTCTCCCAGTCTTCTCTCCTTCACGGCTCACCTCGGGTCTATGACAGGCTCAACTGTCTCTGGCTGCTCATTAACCTCAACCACTTCTGGCTCGACCGCCTCAGCTTTGATCACAGATTTCTTTTTCGGTGGTGCCATTGTCGTTTATTAACTCAATGGAGTGAGTGGATCCTGCCTCGAACAAAGGTCTCCTATAAAATTGATATCAAGACTCTGTAAGTACGACATTAAGACGACATTCATCACCTCCCATGCATACAGTCGCAGTCTCAGTAGTTCTATGCCCTTCCCAAGCAATTGTTACCACTATCTTCAACACAACACATTTCAAGAGCTTTTAGGAAAATAAATAGACTCCAGCGACATTCCGTCGAGCTGGGAAGCGACGGACAAGACTTTTTATTGTACACATGTCCATGAAAACTGTTCATCGCTGATTCTTGAATGAAAATACGAGAAGAGTTCATACGAGTCTATTCGTCTACATCTACAAAACCTTGCTGCATGAAGTGAATGATATTACCCTCGATATAGAACTGCTGCGGATGTGCCTAAGAAAATTTAGTAATACGAATTCACCCACCAATCAGCTGTATTCATAAGCGCCGGCCGTTTGCTCCCACCTGCACAACTTCCTGCAGTATTAAATCCATGTCTTCTACCTCCGCGTACTGTGCCGATCGACTATGGAGATTCCGAGATGCGACTCTCAAAGGGATCCTGAGATGATCAAAGAGCACCTAGTTCGATAAGGCGTGCTGAACTGTACTGATATTGATCCATCTCGAGGAATAACCCCTCTAAGTCGGCGAGCAATGATTCTCTCAAAGACATACAGCTGCTTGTACCACTCGACGATGGTGTGCCACTGTCCCCTACCTACACAGCAACCACACTATATAAAGGCCCTACATGGCTGACCACACCTCAAACTCCTCGGGCACCATAGTAGAACGCCCGGTGGATGGTTGACCAGCAGCAGCATTCACTGACGATCCTCCATCCCTCCGTGACAGACTCCTCCCGAGGCGACTCTAAAGTACTCACTATAGTGAGGCACAGCCCTCGCGGCCTTACTCCCTGGCTGCTGAAGTCCTCGTCTTCATCATCAGAATAGAGGAATGTCAGTCGAGGTAACTCTATGAGTGCTGGGAAGTTGGGCGTCATTTCAGTTGCCGGTGATGCCTCCTCCTCCTGCTCCTCTGCATGATCCAGCATGAGCTCAAACTCAGTAGCCAGTCTTCGTGCCGGGACGCCATCACAGGGCATAGGACGACAACGACTGCGGTACTTATCGATTTTGGGAGGCGAGGGACTTCTCGAACGTCTGCTCGAACCAGGCTGAAGATGTGTAAAATATCATCCCAACATGAAGACTCTATCCATTAGAAATTCCTCCTCACCTTCCTCTGAGGAGTCACCGGAGCTTCCTCCTCCTCTTCCCCTTGCTGAGGCAATCGAGAACCCCCTATATACACTGCATGATGCCCTGTCGGAGTTGTAGCCGATGCCCGCAGTTTTGGTAGTGGTGACACGAGAGTAGCTTCCCTCAGGGATGGAAGCCGTTGAGCATTGTACACTGGAGTCTGCGGGGCGATGCTACTGGCGCTGGAGTCTTCTCGAAATAACTGAGCCGAGATGATCGGTCCAAGCATTATATCTTTCTACCCAGACAAATTCGAATATCCACGATTTCACGTTAACCAAATGGGTTTTCAGGCTGAGTCTTAAACAGGGCTTAGATACAATAAAGTTTCACCCTAATGATATGAAAAACATATTCCACGGCTACTGTGTAGTGCGAGTATCGTGTTTTTCACGGAGTTTTACACCAGCTCACGTAAAACGGGTGAAACTTCTATGGTGAACTTATGATTCATAAGCTCATGTTCATAGATTATGAGCTTTCATCTCCCAGGCGGCCTCTCCACCGTAACACCGCTATGTTTCCTTTCTACAGAGCACACTGGATCAGGTACCCATCTAGGTTTAATAACAATGGGGGAAATTTTCCTAATGTGATGATGACATTTATATGGAAAACTGATTGAAGAATGTGTTCCTGGCCATGCGGAAAATTCAAAATGAGTTCTTCCCAGGAACATTATAGGCTCCTGTATGATGCCCTGTATTGGACAGGAGTATAGTGACCTCACCCTCACTGAGGGTGGATTCCCTCGAAGAGTCGAATCCCCTCCAAGCCTCGTAGTAGCAGCAGTCGATGGTGTCGACGCTATAGTGTTGTTGAAGTCGATGGTCAGACCTCCTTCTGTGACGGCCAAAGGTCTCTTCTTAGACTGGGGAGGAGTAGACACCAACATATGGTCCTGGAGGAGATTTTGATTATCAAGAATGGCAGGATAAGTGGCTTCACCTGAGCAGACCTTGGGTCGTTTTTCCCCATCAAAATGTCCGACTTTTCTCCTCCCCGTTCTTGAGAGGATGTGTGATGATGAGTATACATGTCACAAGACGCGACTGCCACAATAAGGGGGTGCGGTCTCAAAGGCCGTCCATGAGTACTCAACACAACGTAGAGACGCGGGCGCACAAAACCGATTAAAAATAATATTCGTGATGACAATGGTTATAGTAGACATACCAAGAAGGATTCAGTTCAAGTCATAGTACACGATAATAAGCCGACGATCGACCGTTGCCTGTATCACCATCACCAGCATCCGTAGTAGTACTAGGATACTGCATTAGGGACTTCGACATCTCACTACTACTACGTCTACTACGACGGTTAGCGTCCGATCGATGGATTCGTACACACGTCACTGCTGCTATGAAAAGCATGCAAAGGAGGAGTAGAGTATAAAGATATTTCATCTGAGATGAATAGAGCTCCCAAGCACCCCAAGTTCGATGCGAATATCCACTAAGCGTTGCCACCATAATGAACGCCTTACGTGATGCTGTGGTTCATCCGGCAAGTCTGGAAAGGAGGCGAACGATGACGACGCTGATGTTGCAGTCGATGTATTCGGTATCTACCAAGACAGAATAGCTAAAGCAAGACGACTAAGCCTTGCTATAGAGTCCAATGCTCAACCGCTTCCACTGACGGAGCCGCTACACAGTGTAATCCCCGATGATTTGCAATAGGTGTAACAAAACTTCTACGATGAACCGGTTCGTTCATCATCAACACACTGTCGACCGAAATGTCATAGGTAGGGTTGCTATTGATTAACCGTCTATATGCTCCCTCCTCCTCACTACCACACTAGTAGCAGCTTCATGGTAGATATGCGCAAGACGATGCAGATAGGACTTCTCAAACTCCCGAACATCACCACCCAGTACCGATGGATCTATGCTGCCATCCTAAAGAGACCAGGCCTCAAGTCCAACAAGAGCATCCAGTGCAGCAGCTCTGATGCTCGAATCACACATACTTTAACTAAAAACTCCTCGACCCTACACGACGGTGATATTTTCCACATGAAAAAATGTCGGAGACCCCGACATTTGGGAAAACATTTTCATGGGCCCTAACTGAGGACAATTCTATTGGGCATAACGCCTATGATAATTCGCGACCGACAGAGCTTCCCGCAGGCATCGAGAGCTCCCAGTAGAGGCAGTTTCGGGTAGACTATCCCAGCCCAAGCGCCTCCTCTCCCCTCCATTACCTCACTAGTCTCCACCACGTTTAGGAGGATCGACGGAATAAGGAGTGTTATAATCAACCCCATCTCAAGACACAACACTACCCTAAGAAGTTGCTACCATGAACAGTACTAACTACATACAACGAGTTGACAAGAAACAAGCGTATAGTAGTAACAACATCCAATGTTGAGGGATCTCAAGAGTCCTCGAGTTCCCAGGACAGTATAATACGTATTAATAGACAAGGCACCTCTACTCCTCTTGATCAAAGTCCTCCTGTAGCCTATCCCAGTCGACTTCCTCAGCTGCCGCTGCAGTCGCCGCCTCAACAGCTGTGGCTGCCTTGGTGCCTATCGACGACAGCTACAGCGATCGATTCATTACGACTCTGGTCGGTCAATGCAGTCCGCACTGCGAGTCAGTTACGAAGACCCTCCCCAATTTAGTGACACGTCCCTTCAGCTTACGTTTCGAAGGAGCCGATGCCTCTCCTTCCTCCTCCTCTTCCTCGTCGGCGTCAACATCCAGGGCCGCGGGGTCCTCTTCCACACTACCCCCGAGGGCCTCATCGATACTCGACAGATCTTGATGAATCTACAACGCAATCCTCATCACTACATATCTCTTAGTGGAGCCCTCCTACGCTGATCAACTGCTTCCCATCATCCCCTTCCGTCACATTCACTTCCTCTTCCTCTTCCACTTCCTCCTCCTCCTCATCGTCGTCGGCGTCCTTGGGTGGCAACTCGAAGTAGGGTATGCGTCCCCTGCGACCAAGCCCTGCAAGTCCACATCAACTGTCACTATACTACTTCTGCCAATCATAGAGAACTATTCTCGCTGTGGTCTCGATGTCAGCTTCCCCTCCTTTTCGGAGCTTCCCCATCTGTTG